CATAAGCCAGCGTTGAGGTATTTGACCCCGACCAACAGAAACTTGTGGCCTCGTTGAGAAGTTGGGAATGGGCCTAAAATGTCAAGGGCCACAAGTTCGTTGACGCGAGAAACCTGTATGGACTGCAGCGGGGGCCGATCATGCACAGCCGGTGGCTTCTGAAGTGTGCAATCCTGGCAGCCTTTAATAAATAGTGTCACGTCGCTTTCCATGCCCGGCCAGTAGTAGGTCCTGCTTAACAGTCAAGAAGGTTTTGTGGGTCCCTTGGTGCATCAATTTCTCATGAATTACACGAGTCAGTTTCCCTTGGAGGACTGTGGGCACCACAACACAGTATCTCTCTAGCTTCGAGTTCCAACGCATAAGGAGGCAGTCATACAGGGCAACGGGCGCGTTGGTTGTCGTGGTATAGTAATGGTTGCCAGATTTAACCCTGCGCTGAAAATTCAACAGACGTATCCTCAATCTGAAGGCGAGACCATTCATCGCGAGGTAGACCTAGGCCACAATTCGTGGCCAGCGCCACACCTCGAAGAGGAGCCGTGTCGGCCATCGCCACCAACTGTGGCATGGAGTCAACTGGAGCCCTGCAACGACTCGAGCCAGTCATGCATGTACACCTACTGTCTTGTGGCAACCTAGATAAGGTGTTCGCATTTCCGTGCTGTGCCCCCTTCCTGTGAATGATGTCAAACGCATACTCCTGCAGCACCTCAAGCCAGCGACAGCTAACCTGAGGGTTGATCTATGCGCAAGGAACATTGTAAGGCAGCATGGTCCGTCCGTACGGTGAACTGCCTGCCATACAAGTAGGGCCTATACAACTGGATGAAGTACACTGGCAAGCATCTCCCTGTGGGTCACACAATAACGTTGTTCCACGGAGGACAACACGCGACTGCATATGCCACAACTCTTTCGGCGCCGTCGACCACCTGGGAAAGTATAGCCCCTATGCCCATGTCGCTGGCATCAGTGTCTAGGACAGAGGGCAGGGAGAAGTCGGGATAATCCAGGGGGGGGGGGGGGGGAGCGCATCAGCCAGGGAATCCCAAGGCGCGATGAACGCTTCCTCCTCTTTGCCCCAATGGAATTTTTGGCCTTTAGCAAACAGCGCGTGGCCTGGCTTCGTGATAATTGCAAAATCCTGTACAAAGCGACGGTAATATGAGGCAAAGCCCACAAAACTGCAAACCTCTGCGACAGATGTGGGGGTCGGCCACGCATGGACACAAGCAGTTTTCTCTGGATCTGTAGTGACTCCTGACATGCTAACCATATGGCCAAAATACTTTACGGAAGACTGCAGCAAATTACACTTTTGTGGTTTGAATTGAAGGGTAGCAGCACACACTTTGACGAAGACCGATTCTAGACGCTGCAAATGTTCGTCAAACGTGCGGCTGAAAACGATAATGTCGTCCAGATATATCAGACCGGAGTCCCACTGTAATCCCACCAAGACCATCTCCATGAGGCGTTGGAGAGTAGTTGCGGCCAAGTGGAGGCCCATAGGAAGTTGATTGAATTGGAACAGCCCCTAGGGTGTGCTGAACGTTGTTTTCGGTTTGGCGTCCTCGTCCAATGTCAACTGCCAGAAGCCCGAAAGCAAATCTAGAGTCGAAAAGAACCACGCACCTGAGAGGGCGTCAAGCGAATCGTCCATGCGGGGAAGCGGGTAGGCATCTGCTACCAAAATTTTATTTAATTTATGGAAATCAACGCAGAATTGGAGACCCTCATCCCGTTTTCTGACCAACACTATGGGGGCTCACCAAGGGCTATTAGAGGGAGAGGTGATGTCTGCCACCAACATCTCATCAATCACAAAGCGGACATGATATTTCTCTCTGGGGCTAAGGCGATGGGAGTTCAACTGAATAGGGGGGGAATTTCCCGTGTAAATGTGATGGGACAGAAGGGACGTGCGTCCGATATTGAATTTACTATGGCTAAAAACATCGCTAAATAATTCAATAAACGCCCAAAGCTGCTGTCGCTCTTCGGTGGATAAGAGCTAATTTTCCTGGCAAAGCCTGGAGTCGTTCGAATTGTCCTCCTCGACTACGCCTGCCACCAACCCATCAGCTGGCGTGGCGTCTACTGCTGACTGAGCATGGATCACATGCGCCAAAACGGTACTGGCCTGCATAACTACGTGCGAACGACCTCCGTTCAAAACCTGCAAAAAGGGTTCCTGGTCCTTCGACACGACCGTCAGGGCACCCACCATAGAGGAAGTCCGCGAAAAGTAATTAGAGGGAGTTAAAAGAACTCCCGCCTCAGGCCTTTGCAATTGCAGGGGTTTGCGCAATCTCAGGGGTACCAACATTTGGGAACCAGGTGGAATCTTTATGGAATCTCTAGCCAAAGCCGTACACTGGCGGCAAGAGTCAACAAGGTAGGGGAGTGTAAAAAGTTAAATTGACGGCCCGATGGCAACTCCTACAACCTTGGTCGATTAGTATTTTGGGGGGCATTCTGTCCAAGAAATCCGTGCCTAAGAGGCATTGCACGGCCAACGTCTTTGAGACCAGGACAGGGCCTTCCAATTCAATGTCGCCAATTCTAATCAAGCCGATAATGTGACCCAATATTCCCAAACTGCCTCGACTTGTGGCAACGCAAGCCCCTTTTACAAGACTCAGCTTACCAACACTATGTGGCAAAAGGCCAAACATCATTTCGGATATAATGGTGGCTGAAACACCCGTATCCACCAAAATATGAACCTCTACTCCCTCAATTGTCCAACGACCGCGGAGGAACCTGCTGCGGCTGCCACAATCCGATGCGTGAGCGCATCCCACTGGTGTACTGCCTTTGGCCACCCAGCGACCGACAGCGAGCGCACATCTGGAGGATGATGAATGCTAGTGGTGCCCCGGTGAATCTGAACCTGATCCCCGCAAGATGTGTGAGGTGAGGGGAGTGGCCGAGTGGCTGATGTGCCATGACTCACCTGTTGCTTTTATGATGACGCTGATGTGGAGGCGGAGAGCATTGAGGTCCCGCCGAAGGCTCCAGGGGTGTTGCGGCAGCCCATGGCAATGTGGCCGGGCTGGCCACAGCGGATGCACTTGGTGGGTCTGGCCCCCGTGAGAGAGGAGCCCTCGCTCGCCACCGCTGCTCCGGCCGACGCTCACCAGCACCCCTGCAGCGCTGGTCGCGTGCAGTGAAGGCGGCGAGACGATCACCTTTGTGTGGCGTGATGACCTCCACTGGACCCAGGTCCCCAGCACACGCTGCCACACTGGGCCACTGCCGCAGGCCAAGGTGGGCCTGGATACCTTGCGCCACCTTAAGAGAAGAAATGTCCGCTTCCTCCATAATGGCCAAGACGACGCCGAGCTCCCGTACAAGGGAGAGCAGCCGCTCCAAAGCCAGGGAGTTGAGCGCCACCTGGTCCATGTTGGGATAGGCTGCCCAACCCAGTGCCAGCAAGGTGCTACGCAAGGTGAGAGGTGTCTCGGCCTCGCCTCCGCAGCAAGAACTTCCAGCGAGCGCTTGAGGGCGGCTCAAAAATTGCGGCCACTTGAGCGTACGCCAGAGGGAGCGTCGCCCTATATGAAGCCGGAATTGAATTGAAGGCGGCCAAGGAATCGTCATCTAATGCCGTCGGAAGTACCTCGAGTGCCTCGTCCATAGGCCATCCGACCAAGGCGTAAGCCGCTTTGAACCGGCTCTGGAAAGACGTCCAATCACCCCCAGCTTCGGTGAATGGGCGAACAAGAGGCAGGCGCCGAAGTTTGAAGGAGCTGGAGTTGACGACTGGTGTGGGCGCTCCACAAGCAGCACTCGGCGGCATCGCTGCGGTAGAGTCAATGGCGCCCGGTTGCTGCATCGCACTTAAAATGGCGCCCGGTTGCTGCGTCACACGTAAAATGGCGCCCGGTAGCTGTGTCACACTCGAGGGCAAAATGGCACCCGGTTGCTGCGTCGCACCCGTTGAAAAGTTGGCGCCAAATTCAAATGTGGCGGGCGAAGAAGTGCGTGAAGCGCCCGTTCCCGCTCAAACACTGCGATGGGCACGCACGGCCAGGGTATCATCACCCGATGTAACCCAGGCTGAGCTGACACTCTCTCACTTCCTCAAGTAGGAGCCCGCAACGCACGCTGCGCATGGTGCCATCGTGCTAGCCAGCGCTCTCCCAAAACACCACTAGGGTCGGTACTGCACCCCGTGTCCGGGGTGTGCACGATGACGGTGCATCTTCCGCCGTGGCCTCGCAGGCCCGGCACCGCGTAGTGACATTCCCAGTCACTACACAAGTAATGCACTGTTTAACTGCATGACTATAAGGTCATCATAAGTCGATGGGGAAAACCTGTGAGCAGATAACAGTTACTGTTATTTTCCTGTACACAAATGTCTGGATGTACAAGAACAATGTGCATGCATAATGTGCAGTGCCATATGAATAATCCAACCAGTAATGGATACCCATTGTAATTTATATGCATTTCTTAACCCCCCCGCCCCCCCCCCCCATGGACTTCGCACATGCGTTGCTCACAAGTGATGGCTTTACATCTATCCCTCTAGTTTTGTTTACCAAACTAACCTTACTAATTGGCTGTGTCGGGTGGTGGTGGGCTTAACAGCACATTTATATTTACGCGATCTAATCCAAAAAAGATATCGGAAAAAATATGTTTTAGTCGCAATACTTGGTTGCTAATAATAACTTGCATCATGCACAACAGATTCATTAATGTAAAACAAAATAATTACTGTCCAGTTGATTCAGTAGGTATATATTAACTGATAACACTATCCTATAAAATCACACCTGTACCGGCACTATGATCACGTGCCTTGCAATATTTTTAACTCCACGTGTTGTAGTTTACTTCCGAACCGAGCAGGTTCACTTTTAGACACACTCCCATAATACCATAGTCATAACAGCAGAACTCATACATTGTGCTCCCAGGATCATTAGCAATGCTTTCAGTAGATGCTACTGAGTGGACATGTGTCACGTCTTCTTGTACAGGAACAGGTGATTCTGGCAAAGGGACGGAGACTGTGCCTCTTCTTAGTGTGAAAGTGCCCAAGGATGTCCTTGAGGTAAGTCAAGCAGCATATGCTGGGCCCTGGCTCCCATGACATTGTATCACAGGAACTCATGTACTTTTCGATTTAAAGCTTTCGTGACTGCAAGGATTCATCTTCTTTGGTTCTTTCGGTAAAGTCACGTAGAATGAGAATAAAATAATAATAAAATAAAACAATAAAATTCTCACAACACAAGTGGACTTCTCTGTCGTCCCGACAGGTCTGTTCCTTTCACCTGAAGAAGGCCACTTGTGTTGTGGCCGAAACGTCGTGAGAATTTTATTGTTTTTTTTTTTCTTTTTTCTCATTCTACGTGACTTTACCGAAAGAACCAAAGAAGATTAACTCATGTACTCTCGTGGAGTCTTCCACTGTCTAATTGTGAATGTAGACTCTCCCAAAACTATCTTATCCCTACTTCTGGTGTGATGGTGTGGGTTGTGGTTTGTGGTGGTGATTGGGTAGGGTGTTACAATGGTCAGCCTAAGCTGGCCAAAGTATTTCCCATCATGTTTTTCAAGACTTCCCTGGGACTCTCTGTTGTCTGAATGTTGCCCTATTGTATTTGTGGTGCTCACTGTCATGTTCTTCTGCCATGGATCTTTTGTATAATTTTCATCTATTTTTCTTACTCTGTATTTTGCTCTATTTTCACTGTTTTGTATTTCACTGTATTTTAAGTTGCTTTGAGATGCTGTGGAATTGAAGCTATGAATACAGATCATCCTCATCAAATAGCACAATAGCAATTTATTGCCAATCGCAATATATTTTCCATTGTCTTAAAAAATACATTTACTCATACAATAAAAGTAATTGGCATGATCTATTTACAATCGATTGACCAAAAACTGTCACACATTTCAATCGCAGCTATAGCTGGAATGATTAATCAATTAAATTGATCCATTAACTGTAATTTGTAATTGACTACTTTTTTGTGGTCAATTGCTTTGGCCATTAAAAAATAGCAGCTGCTCCACTTACTGCCTCCCGAAGATAGAAACCCAGTATACATTCAATGCTGAGCCAACGTTGGCATGTGGATGGACCGTTAGACGAATGTTCTATGCTTACTGTAAATTTCCATACAAGCTCCACTCTGTGATGTGGCTAATGATGCAATGTACTTCACTAAGCTCCTACGTCACCTCCCATCCAACAGAAATTATGGGACCAGAGGTGAGATGTGTGTTTTCCAACTTTTATTTGCGTAAGCCAATTCACATAATCAATCCATAACTGGCAGAGTACTCCAAACAAATTTAATATATTCCATGAAATAACTGGATATCTTAGCTCTAATCAGAACCACTATAAGTATGCATCATGCTGTAGATACATACGTTCATAGAGTATTGGCACTGGAGAACTGAAAATGGTCAAAGGAAGATGTTTAGTAAGCAGTGAAACTGTAAAATAATACCTTTGGAAAGTCAGTTGTCATCTTTATAACAATTGGGATCCTGCAAAAATAAAGCTCAATGCCTTGGTAGTCTTAAACTATGAGAGAAAATTCCAGATTACAATGGCAGGGCCATTGATCCCTTTGCAGAAATGTAAGTCTTTCAATAATATGCACCCAATATGTAACACTCTATTTTAGCAAATCTGGAGGAATGATGTTAAATAATGTAAGAGTAAAATCTACAACCTTCTTAATACCATTAAACACTTCCCATTGTGGCTTCTTTCCCGTGTGGACAGGAACCACTAATGCTCATCGAGAAGAGAATGAAGTCCAGTAATGCTGAGGTTTGGCGGCAGTTCCATGAGTTGCTGCCAGAAGTGTATAAATCCATCTCTGAAAACACCTTCTATTTCTTGTACGAGATGGATAAAAAATACAACATTCACGTAAGCGTGTACTGGAAGGTGTATGAAATTACTGACATCTCAGCACGTGCAATCTTTATACTCAATTATTTTATTGGTGAGCGTGAAGAGATGTGCCAGGGGCTCCTGGAGGTGATCCGTGCAGGACAGAACAAGCAAACGCAGCTGCAGACCCTGCTTGACTCTGCCGGTATGTGGGATCTGATGATTAACTGGGCCTCACTCTGAAACTTTTCTTAGTTAATCATGGATGTCACTACTAAAGGCAGAGATGTTGCCGCTAGGTATCGTTTAAGTATGCATTACAGCTAAAATAAGTATAAAATAGTTTTTAATCTAATAATTGGGGCAATTGTATTGTAAAGTATAAACATTAAGTAATTGTTTAAATTGCAATAATTTAACAATATGATCCATGCTTCCGTCTCATTTTTTTACTGAAAACTAGGCGTTTTATATCTTGGATTGATAAACTGAACTCTGGTTGTGAATGTCTGTTGACATGTTTCACTGGCTTCTTTGCAGTTAAATGCTCTCCAACTCTTAATCGAAACACGGCACATCAAAAACTTAACATCTCAAATGATGGCAAGACAGCGGTATGGCTCAAGAGCCCTCCAAAAAAACCTGATCATCCAGATCGATTCAAATACTGGTCACAGGTGCTGTCATCTGAGAGTTTCTCTGAAGGATGCCACTTCTGGGTGGTGAATGTGGGGGACGTGGAAAACCTTCGTGTTGGTGTCTCTTACAAGAGTATTCTACGTAAAGAACAAGACAGTGCATGCCTGATGGGATTTAACAGCAGGTCCTGGTGTTTATGGAAACACGAGAACAAATACAAGGCCTGGCACGACCAGCATAGCACGGAGCTCGAAGTGGGTGAACATCCTCGCAGAATCTGTGTTGGCTTGGACTATGATAAACGGGTTCTGTTATTTTTCAATGCTGACAACAATGAGCATCTGCACACATTTTATGCTCACTTCTCTGAACCTCTGCATGTTGCTCTATGGGTGTGGTCTGGGGTCCTCACTATTGAGCCTGTTAACAGCGATTAAAATGGATATAGGTTTCATAATTTATCTGTGGAAAATAATAAACAGGATCAAATTGCCAAGCAGCTCCTCTTAGTTATTTAACATGGATATCACAGATAATATTGTTTTATCTACCACATGCACTGATAACCTTTATCTAAAAAAATGAAGCTAAGAAAAGATGTTACATTAAAGATACATCTCAAAACGTAGTTATTCCGTCTTCAGATGTTTCAACTCCAAATATTTGTTTCCAATTATCTGACACCCATGTAACCATAATGGACAAGCTGAGCCTTGCCAGCCAGTTAAATTTGCATTAAAGGAAGGGGTACTGTTTGAAATTTCCGAATGGCACACTGTTCCCTTGCTTTGGACTGTAATTGGTCTGCAGCACAGTCCATGGCTTTCCGCATATATGTGGATATCACCGATAATATAAAAGTTTTTCACCCATCTGCTGGTCCACCCACCCTCTTATAATCAGCAAAATTGCAGATAATAGAAGCTGCCAATTTGAAGGCAGGAATGACAAATAGGTCTAACTGCATAGATAAGACAGTTACAAATAACAATAGTTGTACTGTATTTCCACATTGTGCAAATCAGTTGCACTGCACACCCACACATCAGTGCCATGGTGCCACTCTACACAAAAAACAAACTGGATTGCCGTACAAAAACTGGAGGAAGGGCCTTTACTATTGATGCCCCCAGAGTCTGGAATGCTATTTCCAATAAACTGCAACTTGAATCGCTACCAATGAGATCTTCTCTCAAAACTGCTCTAGAGGAGTTGTACACCCCTAGCTGCCACTGCTATTCATTGGCATAAAATAAAATAAAATGTTTCGCTCCGGATGACGCTGCAAAGCATTTCCTGTATTTTGATTTAGCATGCTGATCTTAAAGGTGCATTGAAAAATTTGATACTCCGACCGATGCTTCTGTTGTTGTGGAGTAATTCATGCAGCCAGCTATGGTTCTAGGGCAGTGGTTCTTAACCTTGTTGGAGGTACCGAACCCCACCAGTTTCATATGCGCATTCACCGAACCCCTCTTTAGTGAAAAATAAAATGTGATTTTTTTCAAATTCAAGACATAGATATGTTTTTTACTGGTACACAAAATGAGCCGTGCATGAACATTACCTTGTTCAAAGAATAAAACCAACACAATGCATAAACTCACAACAAATTACATTACCTGGAAATCAATGTGACTTCTGCTGTTGCCTTTGAGAGATCAGTTCAGATATGCGTGGCTTCACCTTGACAAGTGCCACTCTCATGTCATTTTCACAGCAAAGTCTGTTCCTTTTCTTCGTTTTTATGTCCAGCATCCTCGAAAAGGATTGCTCACAAAGATATGTTGTAACAAATGGTATAAAAAAATCCAGGGCTTTCTTAGCAATAACTGGATACTTGTTCATTTGTCGACACCAAAACGTTGAGAGCGTTGTTGTTCTGAAGAGTTGCTGTTGAACCTGGCTCTGCTGAATTTCAATGATTTCGTCGAGGAATTCATCATTGACATCTGCTGTTTCAACAGCAAACGTGAACGGCTGTCTCACCCATGCTGGATATGACTCTCTTGTAGGGAAATATCCGTCGAGAGACTTTGCAAGCTCATCTAAGTGCGTGGCAATTGTTTGCTTCAGTTCCGTGGATACAGAAATATCTCCGATTCCAGACACATCTTCGATCTTACTTGCACAGTCGTCCAGAAGCGGGAAGTTTGCGAAGTTATTGTTCTCTGTTCGTCGTTTCCATAACGGTAGCTTTTTTTGAAAAGCCTTCAGGTGTTCTTCCGCTTCCATGATATTGACTCCACCACCCTGCATCTGCTGATTGAGATGATTGAGAGCTGCGAATATATCAGCCATGTACGCTAAAATGAGAATGAACTCAGGATTTTTGAAGCAATCTGCATGGCAGTGTTGGTGCTCTTGCAAAAACAGGGCTAATTCCACACGCATGGCAAAAACACGATTCAGCACCTGTCCCCGGGATAACCACCGAATATTAGAATGGAGCAGAAGTACCTCAAATTCAGAGCCCATTTCTTTACACAGCTCACTGAAGATGCGGTGCCTCAGAGCACTTTTTCGCACATAGTTCACACATTCCACCACAGTTTTTAATACTTCTGTCATTTTTGGAGGTAAGGTTTTTGTTGCCAACGCATGCCTGTGCAGAATACAATGCGTCACAATGATGTGTGGTGCATCGGCCTTTACTAGCGCACCAAAACCAGACTTTCTTCCCAGCATGACTGGAGCTCCGTCCGTACAAACTGCAGAAACCATATCCCATGAAAGATTGTTGTCTCTGAAGAAGTCATCCACAAGCTTCTTCACATCGGCTGCCTTCGTTGTTGTTGTAAGAGGCTTACAAAATAAAAACTCTTCTTTTATCATGTCGTCTTTCACATAGCGTACAAAAACAGCAAGCTGGCTTAGATCAGAAACGTCTGTGGTTTCGTCGAGTTGAAGGCTGAATTTTGCCGGGCTTGAAATCAGATCCGCGACTACTTGAGCCAAGATGTCTTTACTCATGTCTTCTATTCTGTCACTGACGGTGTCATTTGAAAGGGGAATTTGGGATAATTTACCTTCGGGCCGCTGTTCCGAGTATCAGATTCGCCATCTTTAATGCAGCTGGTTTCACAAGTGTTTCACCAATGGTGTGTGGCTTGCCCTGCTTTGCGATCAGGTAAGCAACTTCGTACGATGCTGTCAGGATCGGTTTGTTAACAGGTACAAATCCAAGAGCAGGCAGAGTGGCCCTTTCATCGAATCTGGCTCTCTTCACCCTGAATTCAGCAAGTGTTGTGTTCTTGTATTCCCCGTCTCCATGCAGCTTCAGGAAGTGTTCCTTTAGTTTTGCCGGTGCAAGACTAGAGTTGCTCAACTTGGCGTTGCAAATCATGCAGATAGGACGCTCACTCCCATCACGTTCCGTGATACATGAGAATCCATGTTGTACATATTCGTCCGACCACTTTCTTCTTTTGCCCGACATAGTTAGTATGGATAAAATATTAAAGAAATCACACGACGTACGACAACAACAGTCACACGTTGACTACTGAGTGCGCACTAAATTCCCCGCAGCGCTGATTGGCCAAGCAGTGTAGCATGATCATCTGCAGCCAGTGATGGCCAAGCGGGCCGTGTGTGTCATCACAAATTTACACAATAATTCAAGTGTGTCCGGACCTCCGTGGCGGGGGCTCTGCCGAACCCCTGAGATCGACTCACCGAACCCCTGGGGTTCGATCGAACCCAGGTTAAGAACCACTGCTCTAGGGTTTGGTGTTACATGTTATTTATGTAGTTTATTGTAAAAATTCGGTCACAGTCCTTGTGATCACTGTTACTTTGCAATTATGGCTTTATTTTTCGGTGATTTGGAAAAGTTTTTTGGTTTGGACATGTTTGTTTTGTTGTTGTACGGAGTTAGACTGATGGCCTTAATCTAAGTTTTTGTGGTTGTTATTGTTGTTGTTTAACTTGCATCCCACTGGGATTTTTTGCACACAGCGTTGGTGTACAGTCCTTTTTTCAGGAATATTTTTGCTCTTTTTTTTTTCCATGGATTTTCTGTTTGCACAGTCACATAGTCACTTTAAGATGTTTTTATTGTTCGTGTTTTTGTTTGTTGTGGTTGCACCCGATTCAAGAGCCGGATGGCTCACAGGGCTATACCAAAATAAACTGAACTGAACTGAAAACATCGTTTCTGGGCCGATTAACGTCCTGTTGATCCCTTTCTCATATGCTGCGACAAGGTACAATTTCCACATTTTGCGTTGGAGATGAACTCAGCATAATTTTCTACATTGTGTCGTGTACGTTTACACTGCATGCATACTTGATTGGTGCAAAGTTATATTCATTTGTCTGAGCCTTTGGTCTTGAAAGCAGCCCAGAACATTGCTGGGTCGTTGGTCAACTGTCAAGGCATCCATTCTATATCAGCAATTGTTATTGCATATAAAATATCTTACTTTTTTATGGGAATTAAGCAATATGTGTTTCCAGTTTGTGATCATTATTCATATATTTGAAACACGATATATGGGAAAGTAACTTTCAGAAATAATAATATCTCAGTCTCTGAAACCTGACATCAGGCAAATAACGTGATACAGCCTTTGACCATGAATTAGTATCAGTGACAGCAAGCACTATGACCACTTGCTGACCCTGTCAGTTCCATGGATGGCTGGAGTGAAGTTGCCTTCACTACTGTATAGCTGTTTATTTTGTGAATTAGTATTAAATATGTAATTATAAATGTAACGGGTCCAACCCATTGTGCTGTACGAATGAATTGTGGTACAAGGGCCCGCTGAGTTAAGGGATGAACAGAGAGAACGCGATAAAGGGCGCATTGGCGTCAGTTGTTGCTGGGCAGAAGTGGACTCAGGTGCATAATCTTTATGAGAGTTACAAGTGTTTTTCATTACGGTTAGAACCATAGAGCTAATACTTTTCTGTATCCACCTTTTAGGGGTAGATAAAAATGTAATGATTCTTTCAACGTGAATTACCTACAGTGAGGGAGAAGCATATTTGATCCCCTGCTGATTTTGTACTTTTGCCAACTGACAAAGAAATGATCAGTCTATAATTTTAATGGTAGGTTTATTTGAACAGTGAGAGACAGAATAACAACAACAAAATCCAGAAAAACGCATGTCAAAAATGTTATAAATTGATTTGCATTTTAATGAGGGAAATAAGTTTTTGACCGCTTCTAAATCAGATTTCTGGCTCCCAGGTGTCTTTTATACAGGTAACGAGCTGAAATTAGGAGCACACTCTTAAAGGGAATGCTCCTAATCTCAGTTTGTTATCTGTATAAAATACACCTGTCCACAGAAACAATCAATCAATCATATTCCAAACTCTCCACCATGGCCAAGACCAAAGAGCTCTCCAAGGATGTCAGGGACAAGAGTGTAGACCTACACAAGGCTGGAATGGGCTACAAAACCATTGCCAAGCAGCTTGGTGAGAAGGTGACAACAGTTGGTGCTATTATTCGCAAATGGAAGAAACACAAAAGAACTGTCAATCTCCCTCGGCCTGGGGCTTCATGCAAGATCTCACCTCGTGGAGTTGCAATGATCATGAGAATGGTGAGGAATCAGCCCAGAACTACACGGGAGGATCTTGTCAATGATCTCAAGGCAGCTGAGACCATAGTCACCAAGAAAACAATTGGTAACACTACGCCGTGAAGGACTGAAAACCTTCAGCGCCTGCAAGGTCCCCCTGCTCAAGAAAGCACATATACATGTCCGTCTGAAGTTTGCCAATGAACATTTGAATGATTCAGAGGATAACTGGGTGAAAGTGTTGTGTTCAGATGAGACCAAAATGTAGCTCTTTGGCATCAACTCAACTCGCCGTGTTTGGAGGAGGAATGCTGCCTATGACCCCAAGAACACCATCCCGACCGTCAAACATGGAGGTGGAAACATTATGCTTTGGGGGTGTTTTTCTACTAAGGGGACAGGACAACTTCACTGCATCAAAGGGACGATGGACAGGGCCATGTACCGTCAAATCTTGGGTGAGAACCTCCTTCCCTCAGCCAGGGCATTGAAAATGGGTCGTGGATGGGTATTCCA